CGCAGCCCCCGCGCATATAGGGCCGCTCCGCCGCTCGGGCCGCGCCGCCGCCGCCGCTCCAGGCATGGCACAGGGCTCTACCTCACTATGGCAGCAGCAGCGCGGCACAGCACCCTGGACTTCCTGCTCGGCGCCACAGGTAACCGGGCTCGAAGACGGCGAGGGGGCGCGCACCTTCCCCACCCCACCCGCCCCGTTGCGTGTCTCGCCGGGGCCGCCGTGGATGAGGCCCGCGCGGGCGCCGCCTCCCCCTCCGGCCCTTTCCCCGGCGTTCCCGCCGTGCCGTGTTTGTCCCCGGTACCCGCCTCTGTTCCTGGGCAGGCGGGCGGCCCGCTGCGGCCTCCTGCCCAGAGCCCGCCGCGGCGGGGGCTGGGCCCAGGCGGACGTGCGGGTTCCCCCGCGGCGACTCCGGGCGCCTCAGGGCGCGCTTTCCCCGCGGGGGTAGCGGGCCGGGCGGGAGGCGCCGAACCGCAGGGCCGGAGGGAGGGAAGGAGACCTTGGCTGTTGGCGGGCGGCGGGGCCGGGGCACCCCCGAGGCGCTGCGGCTGCACCGCGCTTGAGGCGGGTGCGACGAACCGGGCTGGCGGCTGCCGCCGAGCGAGGCGGGAGTGCGGTGACACTGCGGTGCTGCTCGAAGCTGGTGGAGAACGCGATTAACTCAGGGCTGTGGCAGGGCCTGACCCCGCGGGTATCTGCAGGGGGCACGTTCGGGCCGGGGAGCTGCGGCGACAACCACGTTTCCCGGCGGCCGAGCCGGGTGGAAAGGTTTGATGGGGGAAGGGGGGAGCTGCCGTGGGCGCCAAAGCGCCTCGCCGAGTGCTGAGCCAGGCCGCGGGCTCGGTGTGGCCTCCCGGCACCCGCCCCTGGGCCGGCCTGGCCCCTGTGTCGAACCCCTTTCTCCCTCCCAGTTTGGTGTGAAGGCAGTTCGCTGCATCTGCAGACAAAATCTTTTAAAAGCTTGTTTTGAGAAAGAGATTTCTGACCACAGGGGCTTTGCTGCGAGCTGTGCCCTTTGTGGCATTGCTGCATGTGCACTTCGGAGAGCCGGGAGCAGGAAGGGGAAGGTGTTACTGCAGTTCTCCAAGAGCGTTCTTTGGGATAGTGCGCTGTGGTTTTCACACGGAAAACCTTTCAGTTTCCCTTTTCCACGGAGTTTGTTTCAGGGTGGGTTAGCCACTCTAATGGTGACCTAATGGCAAATGAGATAGTCCTGCTATTTTCCTTGCACCTTGTGCTTGACTAATCTAGTATGAGCAGAATTGGTAAACTAGGCTAGTGCAAAAAGTATAGAAACCAACCAGCCCCCACAATGGCCTCTTTGTCACTGTAGTTCTCTGAACTACCATGGGTTCAGGAGTTACAGCAACAATTGGCTTCTGCATAAGGTCAGAATTGCCAGGGATAAAGTAGGTGCTTTACCTATGGTTTATTTATTGAGAACAAACCATAGGTATGTTAGCTCCTCATGATATAAAAAACAATGCTGTTAATTAGAGAATGTGGTAAGGACCTTAATAATGGCTTTGATTTTAGGTAGGCTTTTCCACTTGCCTTTACTTTTGAGGGCAATGTTTGCATCATCGTCTGGCCGAGATGGATATACCTAAATGGGGATGGGTTGATGGACCCACTGTAGAAATGTTGCTGTGTACATCAAAGGAAGGAAGAAGCCTTCTTACATTTGTCTCAGCGAAACGGACATCTTCAGTGAGACATGAAGAACTTTTAGCTGTGGCAGCTCAGTACTGTTGGTTTGTACTTCTTATGTGGAGTTTTTCCTCTCATCTAGTGTTTATGGTCCGAAGCACAAAGTGTCATCTAAATAGAAAAAACTGGTGAATGTGCATGTGTAGTTTGTGTTACAGGAGTTAAACCTTATAGCTTAATCATAGATTGTCAACTAATTGAGTTTTTTTCCTCCAAGTTAGCTGGATAGTTAGATTTCTGAATGGTCTGGAATGCTATGAAATGGCATTTAGTAAAATTAAATGTGTCGTGTTTGACCTTCAGATCTTGTGAGGATAGCATGTTTTTTGTAGGTCTCAGCTAAAGCTGTTGCATCTTTCCTTATGGAGAAGGCAGAATCTGTAAACTTGGTAAATGCACACTCCTTTTTCCTCAAAACATTAACTGTGTCCTTGTTTTTGACAAATGTGTGTTTTTGTATAGGTATTAATATAACAAGTTGCCAGCTTATCATGTGGGGGTTAAAAGGGACCTTAAAGTGTTACCTACTTCCAAGTTCTCTGCTGTGGGCTAGGTCAAGTTACACTGAACCACATCCAGCCCGGCCTTGAACACTTTCAGGGAGGTGGTATCCACAGCTTCTCTGGGCAGTCTGTCCCAGTGCTTCACCCCCCACAGTAAAGAATTTTTTCCTAATATCTAACCAAACCCTGTTCTCTTCCAGTTTGAAGCCATTCCCCCTTGTCACTCCAGGCTCTTTTTCAAACGTTTCTCTTCAGCTTTAAGTTCCCTTCAGGTAAACTGGACAATTCCAGTTCTCTCAACCTTTCCTTGTAGGGGAGATTCTCCATGTCTCTGAACATCTTGAACTTGATCATCTCTGGACTTGAGCAGGTCTGTGCTGGGACCCCAGAGCTGGAGGCAGCACTGCAGGTGGGGTCTCACCAGAGCAGAGAGGCAGAATTCCCTTCCTCACCCTGCTGCCCTCAGTGCTTTGGGTCCAGCCCAGGACACTTTTGGTTTTCTGGGCTGCAAATGTCTGTTGCTGGGTCATGTCCAGCCTCTCACCCACCAGCAGCCCCAAGTCCTGCTGGGCAGGGCTACTCTTGATCTGTTCATCCGCAGACTGTTGATACAAGGAGCTGCCCAGAGCTGGGTGCAGCCCCTTGCACTTGGTCTTGTTAGACCTCATGAGATTCCCATGAGCCACTTCTCAAGCTTGTCCAGATCCATTTAGATGCCCTCCCATGCTTCAGGTGTGGCAACCATACCACTCTGCTTGGTGTCATCTGTAACTGATCTTTGTCTAGGTCATTAATGAAGGTACTAAATAACTGGTCCCAGTATGGACCCCTGAGAGGCACTTCTTGTTTCTGATGTCCATTGGAATTCTGAGCCACTGACCATGACCCTCTGGATGTGACTGTCCAACGATTTACTTATGCACCAAACAGTTCACCCACTGAGGCCAGCTCTCGCCAATTTAGAGAGAAGGATGTTGTGGGGGATCATGTCAAAGTCCAGATAATGGCATCTGTACTTTATAGTAAGGTTGGACAGTAGTTTGTTTCATTGCAATGCATCTTGCAATAACTGTACATGGTAATGGTGGGTTTTTTTTTTAAGAATCTGCTTGGTCTGAGTCATTTTACATGGTTGAAATAATCTGTATATGTTTCTCACTGTTCACTTTTAACATAGCAGCTATCCAAAGGCATCGCTGTAATTGTCTACCATCAAGACTGAAGATGATTATAAAGGCTAAGATGTTAATAGTTCTCTGGGATCTGTTTATCACTTTGTTCTCTGATGTGTGTCTCTTGTCTTTATCCTCAGTCTTCTGAGGTTCTCTGTGAGTGAAGGATGGAAGCTGTCCTTGTTGCTGACAGAGAAAAGATCTGCAGGACAGAGCTCTGCATGAGGAAGATGGGATTTTGTCACGTGTTAATACTCGTGCAGCTGTTAGCAACTGCTTGTGCTGCAGAATGGGGTGGATTCTGGTGGGTTGTTCTCACTGGCTGACTTGCTTGGCATGTCACAAACCCTTCCAACAGCCCTGGTTTCTTCAGGCAGTCCGGTTGTCTTGGAGTATTGTACTCTGGAGCTTGTCATGTACATTCTTCAGGACTCAGATGTACTCAGCAAGAATTGTAAGACTGATAACTCTTATGTAGCCATTTCTTAGTGTTTGCAGTCATCACTTCCATGAGGTTGTTGGAATTGCCAGCAATGTCAATAAAAACGTTGGTCTGGAGAGTTAAACAGGTCCTCTTGCGTTGGTGTGAGATGGAGGACCACAGTATTGCCTTGGGAATGGGGTTGTATGAGATGATTAAAGCCATGCACATCTACTAAAAGCTGCCAGTTTTTTTCAAACTTTTCAGTAATTTTTTTTGTGTACTACAAAATTTGTATACTATTAAAAAAAAGACCCTTTTGCCTGTCCATGTGCTGTCCTTGTCTTTTTTTGTGTAGTAGAAAAATCTATATACTATTAATAAAAAAGGCCTTTTTGCCTGTCCTTGTAACTATTTCCTCTAATTAGGCACCTCATTAGTTTTTTAGGAATAGCCAGTTAAAAATATAGGCAGGAGTGATAGCTGGATAGCACAGCCTGAGTTTCAGAGCTGGTTAAATTAGCAACTCTACAGCTCAGCTCTTTGAACAGAAGTATTTTACTTATCTGTGACCCTGGAGATAAACAGACAGCTTTAGCAGGCAAACAGCATAGTGTTCCCTATCCTAAAATATAAGAATACTATTTTAGCATTTACAGAAGTGGACACAGCTTGCTGGGCTTCTTTAATTGGTGCACAGAAAACTTTAGTTGTGGTCTTTTTGTTAGCCAGAAGAGATGAATTTGAGACTCCTCGAGTTACTGAGTTTGAGGGTTTTATTATGAGGGTATATACATATTTGATGCTTATACCTGTACAGAGTTGATTTTAGATTTGCTGTATGTTATAAATCTGCTTGCAAATGGGAGTTTTTCCATCCATGCATGAATGTGTCAACAAATTCACAAACATGTGAATGTCAAACGTGTTTTCTTGGTTGTTGAGTATTGAACTGATGGATGTTCTTCAGGTTCCTCTAAGGGTGGGAGGAGGGATAATATGAAGAGATTTTGATATGAAGAGATCTCTTGTGAGATTTGGTTTCTTGGCTTCAGAAAGTTGTTTTGAAAGGCAAATTAGTTGGAAATCAGTTTGAATTGTCTCCATGTTTGCTGTTTGGGATTATTGCTGGAGGATTATAAATAGTGAATGGTACAGTGGCACAAACAACTGTGCCTGTAATACTGAGGGCCAGGGCACAGATAAGGGAGCTGGTGGAGGAGAGCAGTGATTACCTGAGCTGGACCAGTTACTAAAACCAATGCTTAGGAAGCTCTTGGGTTAATTACACACTCTGGGAATGCTGGGGTTGGAGAGAGTGCAGGTAGGGCAGTGCTTGAATTTAAGAAAAATTTTAAGTGAATGTGTGTGTGCACATGATCTGGTTTTCCTCTGATTAATGTTTTTAAGGAGCTAGAGAGAAGGGAATGACCTTTTGTAGACTGAGCATCCTCTGTCAGTAGCTTGCTTCCCTGTCTGCAGGGTTGGGTCCACTGCTCAATTTTGACACTGCAGGGGGGGAAAATCTTAACTATCAGGTGTTCTGATTACCTTCCTAAATATTCTTTCAGTATTGAAGTTTTTACTTAGGCTATCAAATTGTTAAATATTTGAGCTGAATGCAGTTAAAATAATGTTTTCATTCTTGTCTTTGTTTGGATTGGAACTCTTAGTGTTCTTCATGGAGCAGCACCAAAGTTTTATGTGCTTATTTTTCACTGTGTTGGTCTGAACTTTTGAAGGGTGGAAGACTTAACAAGGTTTAAGTTTTACACCTTCTAAAAGCTTTTTTGTTGAGTTTTCTTACTTTAAGAACTAATTAAGAACATGGTTTTCTGAAAGGGTAATCTCCTGGGAAGAGGAGTGTTTAGGGGAACTAAATACTGTGGGATGGGGGGATTGGGGGATGCTGCATTGGCTCTTTCTTACTACTGTCTCTGAAATCTCTGCCCTAACTTCTAC